TCCTTAGCTTTTATTTTATTTTTCTGCTTTTCACGTGTTTTCCTATTTTGCTGTGATGTTGCTTTTTGTGCTTGTTTGGGCTGGAGCTTGATTAGAAGTATATCTTTTAAGTGAAATCTCTAGTGGCAATGCTCACTGGTTGCATTGCATTACGCAGGTTCCTGGCATATTAAAGGCAGGGTAGTGTGTGAATTTTCCTGTTCTTTGTTGGATAATTTAAACCTCCATGGGACAGATCTCTTAGAAAGAAAAATAAATCCTGATATGATTCATCACTTAGCCTAGCATCTAGTTCATTCTACTCAATCATTAATTCTAGTTTAAACTGGAGGCCAAATATTTCTTCAATCTCCAGGCTGGTATTCAAATAACAAGACAATAACACCTTCTTACATTGATCTAAAGTATTTGGAGATCTTCAGACAAAGGTAATTCAAGACTAACTACACTGCATTTTCCTCCATTACCTCAGATCAAAGCAGCTCATCTTTCTATTTCTTTTCTCTGCTTTTCTCTCCTTTTTTTTTTTTGGTATGGAAACTTCTTACAGACTTCAAAAATTGAAGTTTGTTCTTTTTATATTCTTAAAATGCTAAATACTCCCTGGAGGACTTCATGTAAAGAACAAGTCATCTTTCTTTAGAAACATAGCTAATCATTTTCTATTCAGACAGCTGTCTCAAAAGACCTTGCTATTACATACCTTGTAAGTTGAAGAAATAACATTTCTATGAAAATAAATGACCAAAGCCACTTCAGAAAGCAGTAAACTTCAAACAACTTGGTAATTTGTAGACCCCTCTGACATCCCAAGTGCATAATGGATTTGCAAAGACATTGAAGATTAAATAAATTGACTATGATGTCACAACTCTTTTTTAACATTTTTTTCCTTAATCTTTATTATTTATTTTTTTTGGGGGGGGGAACATATTTGCTGATAAATATTCCCTAAGAAGCCTCTGTGGTTTTCATCTCTGTCCCAGGTAACCCATCTGTCCAAAAGACGCAGTTGATAAAATCCACAGACTGAAGGCTAAACTTGGCCCTTGTGGGTCATAGAGTCCTAATTTAAAAAAAATGATAAACAGAAAATAAAAAAGACAACTTCAGATAATATGGAAGTTCCTTGGAATAGCATTCGGAAAGGGTATTTTCTGCTTGCGTTATAGGCACTGGAAAAAAAATCTGTGTTATCTCTAAAAGTGAACCATTTGAGGTTTCTGTTCCGGTGATGGGGCCATTTTATTGAGTAGCGTCACCCACACTGAATTTATGGGCACTTGCAAAGAACCAGGGACTGTAAATTCTAGGCCTGCTTATTAGAAACCGAGAGCATTTGACAATGCACATAATTAATGATCATTTGCTAAAAGTATTTTTAGGAATTTTATTCAAACAAAGTAAAAAAGAAACACATTAAATATTAGTCCCGTTATATATTATGGGACATTATATCCATTTGTGTGTCCATAAATCATTTAGCTATGAATACTTAAGAAGAGCAAGAAAGTGATACCCTATGTACGCTCTGAGATAATATTGTCTTAGTATTTGATTACAGGCCCTGTGTCCTTAATGGACAGATTCATGCTCCATATCCAATGTCCAGTTGGAGCTGGGGCACTAAGAAATGGTAACAGGAGGATGTCAGGCCAGGATCAACCAGAGTTCAGGAGTGTGAAATTAGTGATGAAATAAGACTTTTACGGGCCTTACCAGGAGCCTCTCTTTGCCTCTATTACTGTATCGTTTTCTGGTGATCGATTTTGTCGCCCCAATGTGAGTGTTTATGTTTGTGTGTGTGTTTGTCTCTGTACGCTCTTTTTTTTTTTTTCAGGATGGGGTTGGGGAAGTATTAAAAATATTTGGCCTGGTTTAACTATCTTTTTATTGGATCGAAGGAAAGAGGAGATCAGTGGCTGCTTCTGTGAGACCTGGAGGAATAAACCTGACAGCTAAAACAAATAGAAGATTTATTCTTTTTTTTTAAGATTTAAAAAATTTATTTATTAATGAGAGATACAGAGAGAGAGAGAGAGAGAGAGAGAGAGAGAATGGCAGAGGGAGAAGCAGGCTCCATGCAGGGAGCCCGATGTGGAACTGGATCCTGGGTCTCCAGGATCAGGTCCTGGGCTGAAGGCGGTAACCTGCTGAGCCACCTGGGCTGCCCAGATTTATTCTTTTTGAGCAGCTACAAAAAGTCATTGCAATTTGAATTAAACCAGAGCTAGATCATTGTCTTCATACATAAGGTAGAGAATCAACAACAAAATAGTACAAAAAAAAAAAAAAAGGAAGGAGGAGTGAGAGGAGGAGAAAATGGAATGAAATATACCTAGAAAATGGAGATATCCAACACAGGCTTTGTGAAATGGTGAGAAGAATCAAGGGATGGTTTTAAGTGCTGACTGCCATGGACATGTTATTTGATTTGGGACAAGCCACTTAAACTTTCTGGCCTCATCATACAATTCTAAAAAGCGAAGGAAAATCATTAAGATCACTAAGGACTTCCTAGTTGCAAATATTTATTATTCCAAATTGACATATTCAGGAAACACACAATCACACACACACACACACACACACACAATGTGGATTTTTTTTTTTTGTCTGAATGATCCATATAATCTTTTGTGTGTGGCTCCGGTTCAGTAGACACAGGCACTGTATGTCTAGCTGCCACTGTATATCATTTCTAGGTGCAAAGTCTAAGCATTTATGGCCTGCATGGGAAAGAAAAAGGGTCTAAGAGAAAATTATTTAAGGTTGTACAAGAAAACTGCACGAAATCTTTAAAAATACATTTTAAAAAATTGAGCCTAATGCAAATCTTTAAAGTTCGGCTGAAGACAACAAAGGACTTCAAATATTTGTTGAGACAAGTTGGAGCTTACGACATTGATAAGCAATCTGACTTCTTTGAGGATTGTTGATATTTCTTTTTAGTTTCTGGGTGCCAATAGTGAGAAATTTGGAACTCAGTACTGCCAACCCAAATGTTAATTGTATGTATCACAACTACTTTAATTTATAGTGATGTAGATATTATAGTCCAAATGAAAGTTATGAGAGTTAAGCTATACCGTTAAAAATTTTTAAACTTAGTAACGAGTAAATAGATCACCTTGTCCACTTTCATATCAGTTACTTGAAGAAAAATCTATCTATCTATCTATCTATCTATGTATCTATCTATCTATCTATCTATCTATCTAATCTATCTCTATCATCTATTATTTATGAATCTATCTACTTACCTATTTATTTATCTATCAGTATCTGCCAATGTTCTTCCCTAGATTTTCAGCTTTTCATCATAGTGTTAATTAAAGAATGAGTTAAGGGATGATCCATTTAGAGCTTTTTTCATTCTTATTTCTGAAATGTGGGGCGTCTTTGCTTTAGGAAAATTCTTTCACTTTTCATGGCTGCCCAGAGTCCACAGAAAATACAATGTAAAAGAGGATGAAAATTGTATTTCAAATCAATACCTACCCGTGATTAACAGATCTTGAATCTACTTTAATTTCTGACTTAAAACTTTCATCAAAGGTGTTTCGAAAAAAAAATTGTGTCCCAAGAAAAGGGCACCTTTGAAAATAATATTCTCACATGTCTTTTTCATGTTCAGCCAAGTGGAAGGAAAAATAGGCCAATCACACATTGTGTTTTGAGTTACAAAGGATTCTTTGGGGTGTGGAACAAATGGCACTTACCCACCTTAGAAGTTGGCAGATGAACCAACAGCTGAGCCTTTTCTTCTCTAGAGAAGCATTAAAATTTTATTCCCAATTGCACCTGCATGCAAGCCAAGGTCGTGGGGCTGGGGGTGGGGAGATGAAAGACACAATATGTTTTAAATAATGCAGCCCAAGCCATTTGGGCAGTTAGAAATTTATAACAGAAGGCAGCCAGGAAATGTCTCTGTTGGTATGGTTGGAAAGAAGCCACTTTCCAATTTTTGTTAGTCTGTTTCCATTTCTTAGACACCAAAGAGGTACCAAGAGGGAGCAACTTGGTCTACTGACTAGAGTAGGGGAAAATGTTAACATCTGTCAAATCTGGATGGTGGGTAGGTATGTGGCCATTTGCTATTTCGATCTCTATGTCTGAATGTTTGAAAATTTTCATAATTAAATAAAATGAGTATGTGTTTGGAATTAAGCCTTGTGTTTTAAATCCCCATGACCTTATTTTCTAGCTATTGTGGGCTTGGAGCAGTTATTTAATTTCTCAGAGCCTCAGCTCTTTCATTAACATAATATGTACAGTAATATCCACCATGTGAGTTGATCTGGGGATCCCAGATAATGAATAGAGTGCCTGACAAGTGGCTGGTTTTTCTATTGGTAGCAGTTGGAACCCAATTTTAAACCAAAACTCAACTTAGAGAAACAATCTCCAGGGAAAATTTCTTAGAAGTTATGCACTGTACATGTTCTTCTAGATTTTGTATTTACTTCTGGATTAAGTCAGATCACTAAAGATCTGTGTGTCTGCATTGTATCATTCATACTGGGGGCCCATCAGGATGTTTATACTTCATTCCCTTGGGAAAGATGTCATTGGCTTTCAGTGGGAAACACTGTTCAAATGTTCCTACTAAACTTCTGCCTGCTGCCTGTACGGGTGTTGTGGGGACGTGGTTCACTGCATGCACAAGACTCTTCAGTAGCCCCTATGAAAGACGTTCCTATCTTATCTTAACATTTCAAATAATTGTTTCTTTGGAGTAACTTCTTCTGTTTTTTTTTTTTAATACTATGAATTGTTAAAATGATTGAATTTACCTTTTGGGACTGGTAGCTAGGAAATTGTAAGTCAAATCAGTAATCTACCCAGAACAGCCATATGGGTCCCTTTGGTATGAAGCTTTATATTTACTTTATTCCAAACCCATTTTATTTCTGTACTCTTGTTTTTCTTTTTCTTCTTTCTTTCTTTCTTTCTTTCTTTCTTTCTTTCTTTCTTCCTTCTTCCTTCCTTCCTTCCTTCCTTTCTTTTCTTTTTTCACTTATTTTACGTGTCATCCTTGTGCAGGGGCTATGCTAATTTTCTCTGTATTGTTCCAATTTTAGTATATGTGTTGCCAAAGCAAGCACTTTTTTACTTATTTTAAATTTATATCACATTGTTGCATTTTGGGTATTCTTATACATCACCTTAAGTGCTTTGGTAGAACAGATAACCAGGGTGGAATTTAAATAAATCAACAAACAAACAGTATGTAGCATTCATTATTATTGATAATAATAGTAGAAATATGAAGTGTAGTTAGAAAGAGAGAAAGATGAAGGCAGTAAATATCTCAGAAGAAGATAACTAATATCACAACAAGGTTGAATATTCTAAAAGGGATAAAAATGATTCATTTTATATAATGGGTTCTTCAAGAAACATAGTTGATTCAAAAAATATTTCTGAAGTACATAATATGTGCCAGGTACTACTGCTGCTATAGTGATAAGACCATGATGATAATTTCAGAGTACCTTGTAGAGCAGAGGAAATTGGTTTAGAAATTGGAATTTGGGAGTAGGTATGATAGGATCAGGGGTGTGGAAAGTGGGAGAGAAGAGCTGTTGGATTGTAATGCTGTTTTGTAAGGAATAGGGAATAATGAAAACACAAAATGAAAAAGATAGATGTCACATTGCTGTATGGCAAAAAAAAAAAAAAAAAGAAAGAAAGGAAAAAAGAATGGTGCTGGGCTGAGCTGAATAATGAATGTCTAAGCCTTAGGCCCTGTCTGCAGTATGGCTGGAGGAACTTGGCTAAGGATGGTGGTCTCTGTGGTCCAGTTTTGGGGAGGGAGCTGGGGACCTAGTTGAAGGCCAAAATCTTGGCTAAAAATGGTATCTCCAGATCCCAATATTGAATTTCTATTCATGGACGCATAGGACGTGGCTGCCATTTAACAGCAAGGGTGATGTGCAAGGCCCTTAGGTCAGTGATATCTGGAGTTTTCTCTCCTACTTTTTAATTCTTTACATGGGAGTTGGAGAATTATTAGAAAGGTCTTGATATAGCTCTTATCATACAAACTCAGAGCTGAGTGGTTTATGCTATTTCTTAAAGTTGTTGCCTCAAACATCCCCTTACACCATCTTGCACATACTGCCTAGAAGTTTTATTTTTTTTAAGATTTTATTTATTTATTCATGAGAGACACAGAGATAGAGGCAGAGACCCAGGCAGAGGGAGAAGCAGGCTCCATGTGGGGAACCCAATGCAGAACTTGACCCCAGGACCCTGGGATCATGACCTGAGCCAAAGACAGATGCTCAACCACTGAGCTCCCCAGGCATCTCAAGAAGATTTATTTTTATTCTTGATCTTGGTTGATCTCAGAGAATTTTTCAGATGACCTAGGAAAATTTAGGAGTATTCCGGGCCTCAGGAAAAGATCACAGTCAAAAGCCGGAAAACACACTCATGTTTTATAGAGAGTATTGTTATTTACAAAGCTTAGTTACTATTATAAATAGTACGGTCTTCTGTCTGGGCTCAAGGTATAAATATAGTCCTTCTATGTGTTTTAAAATAATTACTTGCTTCTCTGTTTACTCAAACTAATCACATGAAATCCAGTATGTTCATTATGGAACCTACCGCCTCAAAATTGTCTAAGAACTCAAAGGTATATTTAGTCAAAAGAACACTAGGGTACATTTCAGGGATTGGTATATTTTTACAGTGCCAAAGATGGTAGAAAGCAGGGAAGGAGGAGAAAGAAGAAAAAAAAGGAAAAGAGGGATTGAGAATAGAATCAGTCCACCACTACTGTTACTTCTTGCAACCTAAGAACATTTCCTTTCAGGACCAATCATATACAACCAAAGATAAGGCTTGCCTACTGCTATTGGGAAACCCTTGCTCCCTTTGTCCTTTCCCCGGACCCAGCAGTGACCCTCTTTTGGTACAGGTATGGAGCTCCTTCTCTCATATTCCCTTGCTTTATTTTATCATTGTGCCCAAAGTCCATCATTATACTAGCTTGACATTCTCATTCTTCCCTGGTACTGATTCCTGGGTATTTCCTTGACACATCTCAACAACATCTCTCTGATATCACATCCCCATGAGTAGGGCTTGTGGGTCATTTCCTCTTACAGAGACCCTGGATTCTTCATGCAAATTGATTTACACCTCCACAAAGATGAGCTTCTCCTATCAGAGGTCTCAAAGAAAGGCAGTCTTGACTGAGCCATGCCAGATTTTGTTACACCTTTTATCCCAGACAGTGGGAATTTATCCACTCTATGTGCAACTTTGAGTCGGACATTTAAAAGACTTATCCTTGAATAAGGAAGGTTTATTCCAAGTTGATTTGGTCTCTATCTCTGGACATAAGAGAGGCTGACATAGTTTCCAATATCTCTCTTACTTGCTACCCACATCTTGTTACATAATCCAGAGAGGCAGCAGTACCATTTATGTCCATCTCATGGATGTGGAAACTGAGACTCAGGAAGCTTAAGTAAGTTGTCTTAAGTCACACACTGATACATTTGACATCTCAACACAATGGCATTAGCTAAAGGGCAGAAGCCTCAGCAGAGCAGGGAATTGTCGAGCATATAAATAGTATTGAATAATAGAGAATATATGCTGGCTAGATACTTTGGTATTAATGGAATATTTAATGAATATGCATATGGACATGTTTTACAGTAATAGAATACAAAAAAGAAGGGAGGATTTGTTTTGGAAACATTCTTAAAACAAGATCTTGTGCTTTGTAGTAAAAACAATGAGAAATTATAACAATAAACCGGTGCGGTTTTCTAAAGTCCTTTGAGTCAGGCTTTGTAGACAGAAAGATCAGGAGGTAAAAGGATATCAGAGACTTTCTGGATAGTCAAACATTGAGTCCATGTGACACGAACTATAGCAGAAACTACCACTAGAAATAATAGTCTCTTTTCCAATTTCCTGATGTTGATGGCTTAATACTCAGTTTTCACAGCAGTATTGCTGTGTTTCTCTGTGAACCAATGAAATCACACATATATAAGTGAGGGAGATTTTGTAGATAATGCTTAAGTCACCTTTTGAGATTAGGTGATTAAGTGAAGGGAGGCAGGGTTTGGTCACACCAGAACAAATCAAGGTTGCCTGAAAAAAGCGACACACTAGGGGTGTGACGGGAAGAGTAGGGAAGGATAGAGAGAGAAGAAGAGGCATGGCAGATCCTGGGGAATGTACTAAACTAGGCTGTATATCCTTTTTTAAGTCTGAAGTAGTCATATCTGAAATACAAAGAATCAAGGTCCATATCAAAGTAAATCAATCTAACTATTCAGGAAGTCAACAAACCAAGAACAGAAGTCTAGCCTGGAATGGAATGGCCAGAACTGTAAGATGAGTCAGATGAATTGAAGAATGAGTTAAGAACTCAACAGGAACTTAGCACATTATTCTTATCAACTGCTTGTTGACTCTCCTGGAGCTGGAAGTATGATCTTAAAGGAACAAAATGATGGTCACTGTCTGATTATGACTCAGGTTGAATTCCTTTGCTGTGTCCTTTTTATCCTCCCAGATGACAGAGAACCCTCATCAACTCTCCAAACGTGAGAACTGTCAAAAAGTTAAGAATAGATCAGAAAGGCTTGACTAGAGAACACAGATGAAACATCAAAGAGTATTCAACACTTAACTGTCCTCAGAAGAATTTCTAACAGTTGCTGAGCCAAGTGATAAATGGGGCACTACATTATGGAGGAAAATTTATTCAATGACAAATATTTATCGAGTATCTAGTATATGCTAGGCACCATACTCAACATTTTGTACAAAGAGGAACAAAATAGACAAAATCTTTGACTAATAGAACTTATAATCTAGAGGAAAAGTTTATGTAAGAAATGAATAAAGGGCACCCGGGTGGCTCAGCAGTTTAGTGCCGCCTTCAGCTCAGGATGTGATCCTAGAGACCCAGGATTGAGTCCCACACTGGGCTCCCTGCATGGAGCCGGCTTCTCCCTCTGCCTGTGTCTCTGCCTCTCTCTCTCTCTCTCTCTCATCTCTGTGTTTTTCATGAATAAATAAATAAAGTCTTTTAATAAAATAAATGAATAAAGCTATTAAGTTATAATAATTCTTATAAAAGAAAAGACCAGGATGTTCTGAGAATAATGACATGAATTTGTTTGGGGTGATCTTACAAGGAGTAGTTTTATACATTAAGGCTTAAACCTGACAGAGAGAGAGAAAGAGGAGTTACCCAGGTCAAGGAAGGATATTCCAACCAGAGAAAACAGATCAGGCAAAGACCCTGGACAGGAAAATGCTTGTTGTATCCAAGGAACTCAAAGAAATCCTAGAGCCAGATCATGTGGGATTCGTAGGACATTTTGAATGGTTTTAAGAAGGGGAGTGAAGTGGTTTTACTTGCATTTTATTAAGATCACTGTCTGTTGAGTGGAGAAAAGAAAGAACAGAAGCCTTCAGACCAATTATGAAACTATGATGATGAATAAGATGATGGTGGCTTGCTGAGTGAGGTTGAGATGGAAAGAATTGAACTGATTTGAGATACCTCTTGGAGCTAAAATCTACATAATCAACCCAGATTGCTGAATTTAGAGGACAGGGAGAAAAATAAGAGATGATAAAAGAGGCTGAAGAATGCCCGTCAGAGAGGTAGTAGGAAAGTCAAGAGAAGGGCGTAGTAGGTACAATGAAAAAAGCTCAAGAATCCAGAATGATCAGAAATTTAGAAAGATGATATTCATTTATTTATTTATGTATTTATTTAATGAGTAATAGTTTTTAAAGATTTATTTTTTTATTTATTTGAGACACACAGAGAGAATATGAATGGGAGGGACAGAGAGAGAGAGAGAATCTCAAGCAGATTCCTCACTAAGTGGGGAGCCCAAAATGGGACTTGATCTCAGGACCCTGAGATCATGACCTGAGCCAAAACCAAGAGTCGGAAACTTAACTGACTATGCCACTGCTACTCAGATGCCCCAGAAAGATGATATTTAAAATCATCTTTGGGATGTGTAAAATTAGAGATCATCTCTGACATTGGCAAGAGCAGGGTCATGGAGGGGTAGTGGTAGAGGATAGCATTTTAACCATGGAAATG